CTTTTGGGGACATGTGTGACGCCTCCTGGCTCCTTTAGCTTTCTTCTACGAGGGGTGCTACCTACCATATGTAGCTTCTCTTGGAAACATCAGGGAGATACCTATTCTCAGGTATTCTGTAATAACAACACAAAACAAATGAAGACAATAATATTATTTGTTTCATCTTTCCATATATAGTAGATTCAAAATAACTGCCAACGTTATTATAATCAAGAATAAGCCCACTGGGTGCATTTTAACATTTCTTGGTGGTTCTATCCACCAGATATACAGTATAATGTGTTTTTGCATCCCTTGGAATAATTCTTCTGTGTGTGGTCATGTTGCCAAGGTAGTAAAGTTGCCAGAATCCTAGGCCAGAGGCAGGGACTGATTTCAGGAATGCCAGCAAACCAGGTCCAGCCACTTGCCCCATACTTCTGGTGAAAGTAGTAATGGTGAAGTAGGAAAGAAATTTATTGGGTATAGGTACCTTGTCTTTGGGGCATTGACATGAACTTAGGTTTAAATAGAAAAAGGAACAAAATGGAGGCACAAGAAGTATGTGTAATTAAGTCATCTTGTTCAAACTGATGCAGTGGATCATGATCTCAGTTCTGGTTCTGTGTGATCCAGAAGAAGTGGTTATGTGCTTGAGGGAGCAATCTGGTTCTCATCATGAGATGACTGCTTAGGGGGCAGCCTTGGTTTCCATTGTGAGGTGATTGCACCTATAGAGGGGCAGACCCACCGAGGGATGATGTGCCTGCAAGTTTTAGGGAAATAACTGGAGACCTTTAGGAAGCTCCCAGGGATCTGGAATAGGAAGTTGTAAAAGCTCTCAGGTGACAATTTGTTGATTATGACTTCCCTGCAAATCTTTTTTTGTGTGTGTTGTTTTTTTTTATATATTTTTTTATTGGTTGTTCACAATATTACAAAGCTCTTGACATATCATATTTCATACATTAGATTGAAGTGGGTTATGAACTCCCAATTTTTACCCCAAATGCAAATTGCAGAATCACGTCGGTTACACATCCACAATTTTACATAATGCCATATTAGTAACTGTTGTATTCTGCTATCTTAAAAGTGCCTTAGTTACTCTTATCTTAGTGCCTTCAACCTTGAAGGGGGATAAGAGAGGTTAGGTAAATTTAGGGCTAATCAACCTTGTGTTACCAGTTTTTAGATAGACACTCCTTAAATGATTAACAAGTCTACGTGCAAAGTTGAGCAGAAATCTGATGCAACGTTTAAGGTGGAAAGAGACAGATACACAATGAAGGCAGAGATGACAACCTTTTATCGGAGGACCAAGTGAAGAGTCAGTGCTTTTAGCAAAAGTGGCCTCTAAGTCTATGTTATAGTAACAGGTTTATTTCATTTTGGATTTTTTAGGCATCACTGTTTTTAATTTAATTTTCTTTTGAGAGTCTCCCTGATGACAGGGCAGGCTGACTCCTCTTAGTCCTTCCTGAGTCTGGGGAAACCTCACGGGGACTGTGTTTGCCTGGTACCTATTGACGGACAGATGTCTGCAGAATTCTTAGGTTTCAATTCCTCTGCCCTATGTATTCCAGTCCCTGTCGTGGGAAGCTCTGAAAAAAACAAAGACCTTCTCTCCTTTCATTGACTCTTCTGTATTCCATGCTTTAGTCTAGTGAACGAACGGCTGGCTCATCATGGGGTTGAATAAAAGCAATTGTGGCAGAATGAATTGTGAACACTGCAGTTGAAATAACGATTCTTCTTAACTTCTGGTGATTGCCACTGAGTATATTGCAGTTCATTTCTTTTTAATCCTGTGGGCCCAGCAGGTTAAAAGTATCTAGTTGCTACACATGTACAGTTGTCACATATTGCTACATAGAAATACAGTTTTCTAACTTTTCCTGTTCTGTTTTTCCACTCACAGTCAAACACTCAATTGAACAAAGTTCATAGCACTTGGTCAGTGTAGGTTTTGAATGCAGTCACTTCAGGGCAAAAACTAGATTAATTCAAGCATGCATGTGTCACCTCCTTCATTAGGGGAGCCCAGGTCCTGGGATTTACCTACCCACTCAAAATCAAGGTATAGTGTGGTGTCCTCGTGTTGTCCTCTGGCCTCTCTGGACTCTACTGTTTTAGGGCTGGCCCAGCAGGGATCAGACATCGTAGGGCTCTAGAATCAGTAGCAATTATCCTGCCTATGACTCTGCTTCCTCCTAGACCTGCAAGATGGTGGTCTTTAACTTCATCATTTGTGTATGGAATTAAAGTCCTCTTGTGGCCCCTAGCCATCAGTGCTCTGTGACCTTCTGGGGCTGGGCAGGGTTTGAATATGCTGCTGCCTGTGTGGTGGCCCTACTGTCTTGGATCCTTCCCTGTGACCTCCCACTCAGGCAGGGTCATGGCTAGTCTAGACTTTGTAAGCAGACCATACCTCTTCAGGCCACACCTGGGAAGCAAAACCGGAGATTGTCCTACCTGCACTCTCTCTCTCTCTCAGTCCTGTCTCTCTGTGCCTGGGAAGGAGGGGCAGCTTTGGTCCCTCAGGCTGTATACCCCTCAGGGCCCCTTTTCACCCTGCTCCTCTTCTTCTGTCTTCTTGGTGGGACACAGAAACATATGAGTATCATAAGTGTTTTCCTCTGTGCTTCCTGTAGTGAGTGACTCCCGGCAGTGGCTTTCCATATTTGCAGAGAAGATTCTAAAAATCAAAAGCATTTAAAACCATCCTTTTGACCTATTAAGCCTGCTCACAAAACCCAGGACATTTGAGATTAAAAATAAACCAAAATAATATACCCAGTACTCATTCTAGGGGTATCTACCAGGGCAGGTGTCATAGAGGCTGGTGGGGAAAGGAAGCTGGGAGGGGCCAGGAGGGGCCTGGGCTTCACAGCACAGGACAATCCAAAGACTTGCCTGTAATGCTGGATGAGCTAGGATCATGCACCCACATATTGTGCATGTTGACCAGGTTCCAGGGTATTGCTGTTCTAAGACAGTAGTTCTGCACAATTTCTCCAGAATACACCTGGCCCTGGCCGGCCTTAAGCCCTTGATATGTAGATGTGTACACATGGATATTCAATATTAGATGGCTTTGTTCTTGGTCCCTGTTGAGAGATGGATTCTCCCCATGCACACCTTGGCTGTGATGTGCAGAAATGGCCACACTTCACATTCCTGTGTGTGTCTTTGTTCTTTATCACAGTGTGCTGTTTGCATCTCCTTGTGCATATGACTCCTGTAGGGATTGTAATCAAAGATTACACCTTTTCCAGCCCCACAGAGTTGTTTTTGTTTTTTTCTGTGATGCTGTTGCGTGGAAGGAGTGGGCATGGAGCCATCTGCACAGCTGGTGGCATCCCCTTCTCAGATGCTCACAGGGGGCTGGAATCATTTCTCAAGGTCCCTGCAGCATCAAACCTGGGGCAGCTCAGGACAGCAGTGAGGGATGTGGTTTGCCCATCTCTGGGAAGATCTGACCATGGACAGGCCTGGGGGTAGAGTCCCCTCAACATCCAGCTGTTATTGCTGACTCCCTGCTCAGCCTGGGCACTTGTTATTTCACAGCATTTGTGAAAACCTATAGCAGACAGCTCATTAATAAGAAACTAAAGGGTAAAATTAGATATAAACTGTGAATGTGTTCTCCAAGTACAGTTTGAGGAGCTCTGTGGCTCTGTGAGACCATCTCAGGGTCTGGAAGGTCCTTTCTTTCCCAGCAGTGTACCTGTGTGGGTTCGTTTCCTTCAGTGCACATCTGTGGCAACAACACAGCATGAAGGATGTGTCCAGCTGTCTGCTTTGAAAATGGGCGTCAGAGACACGCAGAAGTGGACAGCTAAGCATACTTCTCATTTATTGCATTTTATGTAGGGGAAATGTTATAGTTTTTCATAAAAATGTTATTTATATTAACATGAAAATGGGCTAACTGTTGCCTTTAAATGAATCTGTATGTGTTTAAAAAGGTCTCATTGTGGCTTCTAATTGGTAAATGTCAACAGTTATAACCCACATCAAAATTTTTTTGTTGGAACTTCAGTTATTTCAAGATATAAAGGGGTCCTGAAGTGGAGATGTTTTAGAACTGCAGTTTAATGCTTAAAACAAAAATAGCAGTCATGATAGTGCTAACTGATACCTATCGAGTAGCACTGGCCATATAGAGTGGTAACTGACTGACTTTCTTGATTTCCATTATCACCTCCCTGTCCTTCCTAAGAGACAGGAGAGCTGCCCATGGCCCTTTATATTGTTGGTCAGGGGAGCGCTGTGCAAATGCCATGGGTTGGAGCAGATTTCCCACAGAGGTTCCATTTTGGGTTGAGTATGTGTAATCTGAAAATCCAAAATCTGAAACTTTGAGCATCATTTTGATACTCAAAAACTTTTGGATTTTGAGGCATTTTGGGTTTCAGGTTTTCAGATTAGGGATGCTCAGCCAGTTTTAAAGTCTTTGAAAGTATTCCAAAATCTGAAACATTCAAAATGTGAAACACTTTTGGTTGGACAGGGGATACTCAGCCTGTTTTCTTCTTCTTCATATAATGAGGGAGTGGGTATTCAGTGACAGCAAGTGTCTTCTAGAAGTGTGCTCTAGGGTGGGGTTATTGAGAATTGCAGGAAAACCTGGATGGGTATGTTCTGTCCTTCCTGGGGGACCTCATGTTGTCCAGAAGGGCTACCCATGACCCTCTGTGTTGATGGACCAGGGCGAGGACTATCCCAATTGTGTGTTGTGGCAGACTCCCCATAGAGGTGGCCTTACACCTGGACCTTGGGGGATTTGCTTATCAAATGGAGGTAGGAGAAATGAGTACCCCAAGTGGAAAGAGGCTCTGGGTAAGGGTATCAGGGGCAGCAAGGGAAACATCAGTGTGAGCTTGATTCTGTCCATTGTGGTGACCACACTGGTAAGTTGTCCACATGCTTGGTGGTCGCTAGCATCTAAAGGTGATGTGGAAATCAGTGTTTCTCAATGCTGTCACTGACCATGTGCTTTGCCTTCCCTGAAGGAGAACCACTGTCGTCGCATCAAGATTCTTGGGGACTGCTACTACTGTGTTTCAGGCCTAACCCAGCCCAAGGCTGACCATGCCCATTGCTGCGTGGAGATGGGGCTCGACATGATTGACACCATCACGTGAGTGCCATGTTGCCCCAAGGGTCTTTTCAGGGCTGCAGAGGCTGATGAGGCAGTGGGAGGTTGCTGGGTCCAGGAGTTCTCTCCTGAACCAAGAAGTGAGGCTTCAGTGACCACCTCCTACATTTTGCTGTGATGTATTTCTTTGTTCAGAGGATCCTGTGTATTGTCAGGTATATCGGAGACATGCAAAAAGAAATGGCCTTTATAATTAGACTGGATAAGCCATTCAGAAAGGGTGGCCAAATACAGCCATCACTGTGTGCTGGTTCTTCCTCCAGGCAAGTGACTGCCTCAGTGCTCTGTGTGGAGAGTGGGCTGGGGTCTGGGAAGGTTAGTCCTTGAGGAGGGATAGTACCTGTGAGGTCTGGCCTTGGTTAGGCTTTGCTTACCAAAGTCTGTCTCAGTCCACAGATGGCTGCCTCCATTGCTCCAAGATAAGGTGTGGAGGTGGCCTGATAGATGTAGGGTAGATCCCAATTCAAACTTCGTAAAGCATGGAGAGGTGGGTCTATTCCAACAAGATGGGTGTACAGGGATTGGTGTGAAGTTTCATGCTTGGAGCAGAAAGTAATAGCACAAGAAGCACAAGAATTGTGTGGGGAAGATGTGATAAAGTAAACTAGCCACTGAGTGAAAGAAAGCACACACTTCACACTGTGTGCTCCCACAGTTGAGGCTGTGGCGATTGAGTGACACCTGAGACCCTGTGAGACCCCACTGTGCTGTGGGATACCCCAATGCTACCCTTGCAGACTGCAGCTGGAGGAGGCATGAAGGAACCAGCACCATGGGTACGTTAAGTGCCAGTCATAGTGAGCAAAGCTGGACTCTCTTGGGAGTGGTTCTCCAGTGTGGCTTCCTCATGTCAAGAGTCCAGAGGAGCTGGTCTGGGCCATGTTCTGACCTGAGATGGAAAGGCACCCAAATGAGTGCAATACACAGCAAAATGCAAAAAACACTGCCTTGGAAAAACATTGCCAGCTGCAAGAAATGCTGGGCTGAAACTAGGGAAGGAAGGAAGGCAGGAAGGAAGGACTCCTAACTTGGAGGAGACTCAGAAGGCAGTGACTGTCTTTTATTCTGGATGCCAAGCCATAAGTCACATGTCATAACATCACATTGCATATCATACATCACCTGTGATAGCACACATCATATCATGTCACTTGTTCTGTCACCTATGTCCTGACACATCATGTCATACATCACACCATCACAACATATCATATATGTTATATATGTTTCATCTTGCATTGTGTCATATATCATATGCCCTATTATTATATCAGATCACATACAACACATCGTATATCATCTAATATTCGTACATCATATTGGTTTTAGTAGGCTTTTTCACCACTGTGACCTAAAGACCTGACAAGAATAATTTTAGAGGAAGAAAAGTTTATTTTGGTAATCATGGTTTCAATCCACAGATGGCTGCCTCCATTCCTCTGGGCACAAGGCGAGGCAGAACACCATGGTAGAAAGGTGTGGCAGAGGAGAGGAGCTCAGCACAGGACACTAGGAAGGAGAGAGAGACTTATCCTTTCACCAAGGACAAAATATATATTCCAAAGGCATGTTCCCCAATGACCCACCTCCTCCAGCCTACATACAGTTACACCCAGGTAATCCATTCAAGCGAATTAACACTGATACATTGATTAGGTTAAGGCTCTCATAACCTGATCATTTCACTTCTAAACTTTCTTGCATTGTCTCACATATGAGCTTTTGGGGGATAACTCACATTTAAACCATAACAATATCATATATCATATGCTGTATTATATCACTTCACACATACCACATCATATACCATCTAACATACATATCACGTATCATATTGTATCATGTCATGTATCACATCATATCACACTGTGTATCACATATATCAAATATATCACATTACAGCATTATATGTCACATCATGTAACATACAAGTCTATTTACTCACTGCTCAAAAAAGGGCCCAATGAATGTAGAATGGATTTGGGGGGGCAAAGAAAAAGATTTATTTGACAAAGCAGGAAAACTGATGGTAGACTAGTATTCTGGCAAATCATCTTAACACGGGCTTTAAGTTCCTTTCATCTGTTCCTTCAGGCACAGGGAAGGAAAAGAGGGGTTTAGGTTAAGAAGTGATTGGTGAGAGCTGGTGGCTCTTGATCTGTTAAGTTGGCACAGGTATAAATCCACCCTGTGCTGCTAGTTTCAGCTTTAAGTGATTAACAGGGGCTGCATGCCAGGGAGGTTCTAGAGGTGTGGTTAAGTACAACCTGGGGCTGTGGTGCAGAGTTTTCTGTGAGCCATAAGCATTGCTACAGTGCACATAGCCTTGTGTTGTATATTGCATTATATGATATTATATGTCGTATATTATTGATGTGTCAGATCTTGTTTTAAGTGATCTTCTTGGAGTAAAATGAGGAAGCTATAGGTGGGAGCTGTAAGGAGACAGAGGTAAATATTTATGATGCCCCTGTGTTAGCCATGCAGATACAGGTAGTTAGCTGGGTGCTCCAGCTGACCTGTGCTAACCGGGAGGCTGATGAGGTTGCACCTTATGCCTCTGCAGTTGGTAGCCTTGACTGAACTCTTCAGCCTCTTGGGTCTCCTCTGTGCATTGGAGCCTCATCCTATCTCTCCCAAGGGGCTCTGGCCTTAGGTGGTGCTGCCCTTCCTTTCCTTACTGTTTCCTAACTTGACTTGCATTATGGTTCTGAACAGTTTCTGCAGGAGTGCCCCTTCCTGGCTGCTGCCCAGGAAACCTGCTGGGTTTTATGTCCAGCACTGAACTGCAGCCTCACCTGTCTTGAAATGCTTCCTTGTCCCTTTGCTCCTTGAAGCTGTGTCCCCTTTGCTGCTCCCTCAGCATTTCAGCTGCTGGCTTTCTGGCTCCATGTCTCTGGTCTTTCCACTTGAGAATAGTGTACCCTGGGCTGGTATCTTCCTCCCAGGGCTGCTCTCTGCTTCAGTTTCCTGAATTCACAGGGCCTGAGGGATAGCAGCAAACCTGGAGCCCCTGTCTGGGCTGAATTTTTGGCCACCCACCAAGATACTGAGCTCAGAAGATGGCCTCCTGCTCAAACAAGTCTGTTCTCCCCTCTAGACTGTCACAGAGCCAGGGACCATCAGTGTATTCTCAGCATGGCACTGAGGGGCCTACCTCCGGGGAACGAGACTCCTAGCATCTGGTGCTCTCCCCTGTTGGTCCCTCTGGGCTGCGTGTGTCCCTGAATTGTACACAGAAACACACATGGGACAGAATATGTTTATCAAAAGGATAGGCATGTCCAGAGAGAGGGGAATGTTTGTGTGATTGTTTTTCTCTGACCTTGGAGTGCTTTATTCGGAACTTTGGAGATTCAAGAACTCCTTGAGCAGAACTCACAAGAATAAGCCAAGTGACCAAAGCTCACATTCGTGGCAGAGTCTCGCTGACTGTCTCCTTTGTGAGAAGAAGGTCTGTGCTATTTCAAGCTAGAGGAATAGGCCAGGCCTTAAGGAGCTGGATTCAGCTGGTTGTGGACTCATCTCTTCTTAAAAGCCTTTGGGTGGCAGGCACCATGGCTGGATGTCCAGGGAGGAGCTGGTCCTGCAGGGCAGAGATGTCCTTCATCAGGCACCACAGTCACATTTGTTCTAGACTTGGGGAATTCTGAGCAGACAGAGGGAATCTTGAGGAACAAGGGATGGTTTGGCTATTGGAAGCTTCTTGAAGCATTTCAAGCAGACTCTTTGGTCCAGAAGGTGCTCTCGTGCATGGTAGCAGGGAGGTCACTCCTCCCCACCTTGAGGGGTCTAGGCTGCCCTGTTAGCTTTCTCTCTGCCACGACTTCTCTAGCAGTACTTGTACCAGGATCCTGTACTTCTGAGAACACAACAGTCTCATTGTGATGCAAGTACCTTTAGGGTGGATTTCCAAAGGGGCAGGGCAAGGCCAGAGGAAAAGAAATAAAGTAATTATAAAATCCAGGACAGATGCTGCTTCAGGTGCAGGTGTGGGCGGGCAGGAAGCCATGCTGTGTCTTAGCTTCTTACCAGGCTGGCAGAGTCAATTTTGTTTCCTTGTCAAACAAGTGAGGAATGATCTCATTATTGTTACCTTGAAGATTGTTCATTCCTATGGGAAAAGCGGATAGAAACATTTTACCTTGTTTCCCTTTTTGATCTTTGATACCCAGGCCACCCACAACTGCCATCTTGTTACTGTTCAATGCAGACTGATCTTTTGGGAAGTCAAGGACATTGTGTGTCCAAGGCCTGTTAGCATGGACAGCCCCGGAGTGAACCCCAAAGTGGGACAGTGAGGCCCGCCAAAGTGCAGAGTGGGTGTATTAGTCAGCTTTCTATTGCTGTGGCAAAACTACCTTAGAAAATCAACTTACAGGAGAAGAGGTTGATTTTGGTTCATGGTTTCCAAGGTTTTAGCTCATGGTTGGTTAGGCCCATCACTCTGGGCCTGTGGTGAGGCAGAATGTCATAGAGGGGAGCATATGGTGGAGCAAATCTGCTCACCTCATAGCAGCCAGGAAGTGGAGAGGAAGGAGCTGGGATCCCAATCTCCTTTTCAACAACATGTCCCCAAAGACCCAACTTCCCTCCATAAGAACCTACCACTTAAAGGTTCCACCACCTCCCAATAGCACTACAGGATGGAACCAAGCCCCTGGGGAATACTTCAGACCCAACACAGCAGCTGGCATTTCCCTGTAAAACCATAGATAAGGAATGCTCACTTTGAAGTACAGGCTAGTTCTTTTCCTCCTCAGCCACTTGTGGCTTAGACAGCCTGACCTTGCTGGGAGCTGTGGCATCTGGAAACAAGAGCAGAGGACCAGAGGGTCTGCCAGGCAAGTGTTGCCCTGGAATCTCCTGGGCTGCAGCTGGGTCTGAGGATCTCCTGTCCTCAGATTTCCCTGCTCCAACCTCTATCACCTGGAAAGATTTACCCTAAAATATTGTGGGCCTCATTTGTGTGTGCCTTATGCTCTTAAAAAAAGTGTTGATTTTTATTGGTGTGATTTTCATTCATTATTTTGAGTGAAATGTGTTCCCTGTTGCGTCAGGTGGATTCCATCAATAGGAGGAAAAAAGATGAGGTGTTCAGAGAATTTAATTCCTTGGATGGTCTTGCCTCTGAGGCACTGTATAACCCTGGGCACATCACTTCTGTCTTGGGGCCTCAATTTTCCAATCTGTAAAAATCCATGACATCCTGGCTCTGAGAGAAGGGTGCAGTGGCAGCAGAGATGAGGGTATCAGGACCATCCTGGCAGCTGCTATGCCTGGGCCATGGGATGGGGTCCTGCATTTTGACTCCAGGGGTGGTCCTTGGCTTCCTGTTTTGATGGGTTTCTCCAGGATGCCCATGATACTCTGGCCACAGCAGCACATGGGACCTTCGTCAGCCTCTGACCTTCCAGGGAATGGGAGGCCCCTCCCCTCTGATAGGCAACCCAAAGCTCCACTTTTCCTGAGTGGGCCAGAGACTTCTGATTCCCATGGAAGCAGATGAGCCTGTGGATTCCTGACTCCCATCCTGAGGCAACACCTCGTATTCCTCAGTGTAAAATGTAAAATGAATGAGTCATGTTTGCATCTCCAAGTTATTATGAGATGATGTGGGCTCTCATAGGTGAGCTTCCAGTTGCTACTGTAGGGATTGGTTTATCACCTGCCAGACAAAGGGAGCTGGCCCATCAGAGAGGGAGCCCCTCTTCTATGGGATTTCCTCTGTGGCACATGGTCCTGTATACCTGTAGAAATGGGGACATGCCTGTTCATCTCTGGGGGAAGCTTCTGTTGGCATAGGCAATAGGGAAACAGGAACCTCATTATTCTTCCATGCAATCCCAAAGCATGCTAAGTGCCATTTTTTTAAATAGACTTAATCTAGATATGGCCTTGCTCATGGTTGACGTGTTTTTTGTTTTCTATTTTCTGTTTTGGATTAAGTTAGCAGAAAAAGGCATGTGCTTTTTCTCCCATGGCCCACATGAACAGGTGAGGACAGCTTGCACATGCCATACACCAGCAGATCCTGATGGCCCCCCTGGGTGGAGCCCTGGGGTCCTGTTAGAAGGGACACTTATGGCCTGTTTCCAGACACCTGGGCCCTCTCCTATAGCCCCTTCCTTTTTAACAAGCTGGGTTCTGTGTGGGAGCTTTTCTCAGTTTCTCATCAGAAAGTAACTTTAGGGATTATTTCATGTTGTTACTGGATTCTAGTTTTCAGAGCCAGAGCCATGAATACATTTAGGGATGGATTTTCTATGGGGTAGAGGATGATTTGGGTACACTCATGTCTTTATTTGCATAGGGTTTTCATCAAAACCTTAGGGGATCTGGAGATTCTGAACCTGTACATTCCAGGTTGAGAACTTATATTTTTACAGCTGGGGTAGCTGAGGCCCAGGAGGGGAAGCGAGAAGCCTGAGTTGAGGCCATTCCTTTGAACAAGGGACTTGACAACCATTTGCCCATTCTTCCTCTATGCTTGGAAACTTCAATCTCGATGATAGTAAATTGGCCTCTATGGTGTCCATTACCTCCTTTTTATTTTTTCCTTGTGTGCACAGCTGTAGCCACAGTGCTTTGAATAATGGGTGAAGGGAGTCAGCTCAATAGATGTTTGTTGAACAAATGAACAGAAGCACCCTCATATGCCCCTTCATTTTCAAGCTTCAGTATAATCATGATTACACTTACTTTCTGCCAGGATTTATTTATGCCATGGTGCTGACGGGGGTCTGCCGTGTCTTGGGACAGGCTGCTTCCTTGTTTCTTCCCTGTTGGAATCAAGCACTGGAAGGCTAAGGTCAGGGCTACAGACTGAGCAAGAGTCTGGCTTTTTCCTTGCATAGAAAATAACTTGAGATAAATAAGCAAACCCGAGCATATAAATAAGAAAGAAAAACAGGACAAATAAAGTCAGAAGGACTGGGGAATTCTGATTCCTTGGAAATGACATGAGAAGTTCTATTGGATAAATAGCCAAATCTAACTGAGATGTTCCAGGAACTGTGGGGCCAAGAGGAGCAGCAGTGAGAACAGCTCTGGATGTGTGATTTCTTTAGAGGCAGCTGTCCAGTTTCCTGAAGACCAGATGGTGTCAGCATTGAGATACTGGAGGCAGAATCTGCCAAAGACAGAGAGTATTGGCAGAGGGCGCAGGGTGGCAGATGTGTGAGGCTGCATAGACCTGGTTGGCGGTGCTTGAAGAGGTCCAGGGACAGGGATGGATGTGAGTCCCAGCAGTCTCTGTGTCATTTGCTCTTTCATAACTACACAAGTATAATTGCTCAAAGTGCTCTGAAACACCATTGGCAGGTTTCAGCATCTGCGTTTTCCCACAGGCGTTTCCTGTTCTGAATTTTGAAATGTTTTAACTTCAAGATCTTGTTTCAGTGTCTCTTATTGGTGATTGGCAAACAACTAAAAAAAAAAAAGGTAAATTTTTTTAGAAAATCACATTCAAAATGTATAAAACCAAACAGGTATTAAAGATGTTTTAATAGTCTTTCAAAACACTTTCAAAACACTTCTTTGTAAATCTGTGGAATGAACACTTCTGAGGCTACTGAACTTGCACTAGGATTTCTGGGACCCTGACTTAAACATGTCCGATTCTACTCTCTTGCATCCTCCAATGTGGAGGTAGGCAGGCAGCTGTCTTGGAGTGGCTATCGGATCCACTGTGTGCTGTGGTTATGGGGGACAGGCCCTTTTGCAGGCAAATGCATGATGATGGCAGAACTGTTTGTAAGATGAGCCCAGCAGGGTTGAGTGGAGGTCAAGAGGCCTTGGAGACATGCTGGGCAGTTGCTCCCTCCACTATGGCTGAAGCTTTAGGCATGGAAATAAGGGAAGTCAGAGTGAAGTTGAGCCAGACATATCGCAGGTGGTGTGGGGTCAGCCTGTTCATTTCATGTCATCATTGATAAATGCACAGAGGCCTCTGGAGTGGGACTGCAGGGCACAGCATGGATCAGGGTCGAGGGCAAAGTGAGGGCTGCCTCACTGACAGTGGCAAGGGGGTGGGCTATGCTTCCTGGAGACTTTTTTTAAAAAAAATATATTTTTACACTTAGTGGAATAGAATGAGTTAGCAGATTGGCTGCTCCCTCATGTACTGGGGTACACTGGGGTGAGTTTAGATGACTTCGGACATTGTCAGAACCAATGTAGTCAGAGCTGGGCTCTTATGCAAGGAAACTGAGGCTCAGGCAATGGTGTGTGCAAAATTGGCCAGGCTGGCCTAGCATTACCCAGATCCTCAGTACCCACAGCACCTTCTTTGCCTTCATTTATGTCCCCAGAGCCCCTTGCCTGGTGACAAGACTTGTGAGGGATTTGAGATCCTAGGTTCATTTCCCTCTGGGGATGTTCCTAGATGGGAAAGGGTAGGAGAAAGCCATGGAGGGAATGTTACCAAGCTGGTGTGGACATTGTGAGATGGCCGAGATGGCCTTGCCTGCCCACCTGGGACTCACAGGCAAGGCAGAGAAACACTACCATCCACTGATCAGGACAGGAGACCTCCACATCCTGACCCTTCCCAGATGGTAGAGCAATGTCGAAGTCTAGTTTACCCATTGTTCACAGCCTCACAGAGCAGACTGTGGTGGTCTATTGAGGCAGGTGACAGGTGGTCCCAGCCCCACGCTCTATGCTGTGTTACAGGTCTGTGGCTGAGGCCACTGAGGTGGACCTGAACATGCGTGTGGGGCTACACACCGGCAGGGTCCTCTGTGGTGTTCTGGGCCTGCGCAAGTGGCAGTACGACGTGTGGTCCAATGATGTGACCCTGGCCAACGTCATGGAGGCTGCTGGCCTGCCTGGGTAAGTTGGGGAGTTGGTAAGGGGTGACCCCACAGTGGCCATGTGTTCTCCCTGAGTCCTCTCTCTGGGCATTGCTCCTGAGGGTATCTGTGTGGGTTCTAATTTGACCTTTAGCATCAGGACCTCAGGAGCTTGGCTTGTCCTGGCCACACCTGTTGCTGCATTCCTGTGGTGGGGGCTCCTGCTAAGCCCATTTCTGTTCTCCCTGGGATTCAGCTGAGGCCCAGTATACATTTGCAGAAAGAGGGTATTAGATCAGAAGACGAGATATGCATGGAGACCTTCACCTGATGCAAGTGATCTCCTTATAGCTTATTATTGCTTCTTTGTTTTGCTCTGTTTGGTTTTATTTTCTTAAAACATGTGCATGAAAAGTGCTGTGACCTCAGACCCCCACCAGGGACTGGCAGTTTCCTCTCCATTCCTCCCTCTCCTACCCATCCCATCCTTTGAGGCTCATAAAGCAGCCACTGCTGGAAAAGGCCACTGGTGACCACCCAGGCCTTGGAGTTCTGGCAAAATCTGGGACCTCTACCCTCAGCCTGACCCCCACCTTAGTGGGGCCTCCCTGATTTCCTCCTCAGCCAGCCAGGGAGTTCAGTTTTGAAATCAAGACTTTCCTCTGAAAGGAAGTAAGAAGATTGTATGGTGAAGAGTGGAGTTGGTCAGGGAGTTTTCTTCTTGTCCCCTGAGCACATGGTGGAGGAGAGGAGGCTGCCAGTATTTCATCTGTCTGTTGGATTTGCATCTTCTGCAGAGATGATGCTTCCTTTGAGGGATTCATCTGCTCTTGCCTGAAGACATGTGAGGCAGTATGAAGGCCTTGGGCCCCATGCACCACCACGTGTCCTGCTATTCTGACAAGTCACATCGTGTGGGGCGGGGCTGGCCAGCCCTGACCTACATGGCTAACCAGAGGCTGCCCTAATAGTTTGGGAAGTGGCTCCTGTTTCTCCTCTTCCTCCTCTCACCCCACATTTCCTCTTCTCCATTCCTGGTTGCAGTCTTCTGATGTTTTTCTCAGAAGGCCCTTCATCCTCCTCCGCTGTCCCTTCCCTGTCCTCCTGGGCATGTCCCTTCCTTCTTTGCTTGCCTCCCTCTCCTTTCTTCCTAGGTTACCAGTGCAGAACGTACACAGGGAGCAGGAATGCTCCTCGGGGAGCTTACCCTGGGCCAGGAAGCCTGACCCATGGGCCCACATGAGGGAAGGCTCACAATTCCATGTGCATGTGTCCTTTTCTCATAGGAAGGTTCATATCACAAAGACAACCCTTGCGTGCTTGAATGGGGACTACGAGGTGGAGCCAGGCCATGGACACGAGAGGAACAGCTTCCTGAAAACTCATAACATTGAGACCTTCTTTATTGTGCCATCCCATCGGAGAAAGGTAGGTACCTGGACCCCCTCTCACCCTCCATTTGGGCCTTAAATGGCCTGGTCTGACAGGACTTTAAAGACATGCTTGTCCCCACCTCCTCCTCCTGTGATGGCTTCTGTGGTTATGGACTTGCTGAGAGAGAGAGAAAGAGAGGGATGCCTCCACTAACATTGGGTCCAGGGCTTTGTTGGGGGACAAGGGGAGCAAGACAGAGAGCAGAGGGGATGAGAATCCCCAGTTGGACATCTGGGATTATCTTAGGGCTGCACCCTCCCTTCCCACCCTGGACCTTCACTGCCTCCTCTGCAAAGTGAATATGAGACCCCTGCAAGAGGCCAGGGAGGTGGAGCTCTGTGAACTGAGGGGTGCTGCATACAAGGGGGCCATGGTCATCCTAACCAGGCACTTGCAGTCACTCCACCCAGAAAAAAAGTGATCTGGTCATGCTTGAGGGTGATAGAACTGCTTTCAGGGCTCAGGTGAGGGAATAAGGACGTGTCTGTGTGTGTGTTTTAAAGAAATGATTAAAAAAAAAAAATAAAGTATGGCTTCATTGCCCGTATTCTCTACTGAATATCACCCTTATCACCACTGTGTTTGGCACCTTTTTATCCCTGTGATCAGAATACCTGAAAAGAACAACGTATGGGAAGAAAAGAATTTATTTTGGCTCATGGTTTCAGAAATTTCAGTTCAAGATCAGCCGAGTCCATTGTGGAAAACTCATGGCATAAGGGTGTGGAGGGGAAAGCTTCTCAACTTACTGCATCCAGGAAGCAGAGACAGACAGAGAGAGACAGAGAAGAACCAGAGACAAGATATAGTCCCCAGGATTAGCCTCCAGTGGCCTACCTCCTCTAGCCACACCCATCTGCTGACAGCAGTGCCCAGGAAGCCATTTAAATTATTATTTGTTTTATTTTTGGATGGGGGGGGCGGGTTGAACCCAGGTGTACTTAACCAGGGAGCCACAGCCCTTTTTTGTATTTTTAAGTTAGAGACAGGGTTTCACTGAGTTGCTTAGGGCCTTGCAAAGTTGTTGAGGCTGGCTTTGAACTTGTGATCCTCCTGCCTCAGCCTCTTGAGCCAGTGGGATTACAGGTGTGTGCCACTGTGCCAGGCCACTCAAATTAGTAATTCATTAAATGGATCAAGCCACTGATGAGGTTCCAATTGAGGATCCAACCACTGCCTGAAAGCCCCACCTCTGAACCTTGCTGCATTGGGGATCATGCTTTCAGCACATGAGCTTTTAGGGGGGACATTCAAAATCTAAATCATAACAACCATTCCAGGGAATATAGCTTCCACACAGTTTGTATGGCTGGATCTCCTGGGGATGATCCTTTTTTGTGAACGCCAGTGCAAAGCTGTGTCCTAGGTGGCTTCCTTTGACCTTGGCTGTCTCCCACTTAAGGGTCTAAAGGAGGTGGAATGGACAGGTCTGGGCCCTCCTCAGACTGGAACACCCCTAGCTGTGACTGGAATCATAGTCTCATCCCAGTAGGTGTCAACCAGGTCTGAGATTTGAAAACAGAAAGGGCATGCCAAGTGAGCTAAACCCCTCTCTGCCTAAACCCCGGAGTTGCTACTACTCAGTTGCTCCTACCAGTAATGCAGAGTCAGCATTGAGCAAACAGATCCCTGTGCCCTGGGGTCCCTGTCACCACCAGGGTCATGTTTTTAACCTGAAAGTCAAAATGTATTTCATTGATAGCATTTCTCTCCATTCATTGTGTTTGAATAGATATTTCCAGGCCTGATTCTCTCAGACATAAAGCCGGCCAAGAGGATGAAGTTTAAGACTGTCTGCTACCTGCTGGTGCAGCTCATGCACTGCCGGAAGATGTTCAAGGCTGAGATCCCCTTCTCCAATGTCATGACCTGTGAAGACGATGACAAGGTAGGAGCCACTAGGGGCATTGCTGGCAGGAACCAATGGGAACTGAGTCTCCATCCCATCCTCTCCTCTCCCTTCCTCTGCAATATAGTCCCTGTGCAGCATGGTTAGGTCCAACATCACTGTTTACAATTGTTTAGTCAGCCTTTCATTGCTGTGGCTAAAATAACTGACAAGAATAACTTAGAGGAGGAAAAGTTTATTTTGGGCTCACAATTTCAGAGGTTCAGTCCATGGTTGGGAGACTCCATTGTGATGGGCCTGAGACAAAGCAGAACATCATAGTAAAAGGGCACAGTGGAGGAAAGTTTCTCAGCTTATGGCAGCCAAAGAAGCAGAGAGTGAGAGAGGAAGGGGCCATAGACAGATATAGTTCAAGGTCATGCCCCCAGTGACCTACTTCCTTCAGCCATGTCTCACCTGCCAACAGTTTCCATCCAGTAGTCCATTCATATTATTAATCTATCAAATGAACTAATCCACTGACAAGGTTACAGTTCTCGTAATCTAATCATTTACCTCTGAATAGTCCTGAACATTGCCTAACACACGAGCTTTTCAAGGGACATTTGAGATCCAAACTATAATACACATTTATGATCTTGTGAATGCCGCCCAGAGCTAAGTCAAGTTTTATATATGCACAAATTGTATTTTTCACACCTTTGCAATCTGTATTTATCTAAGTTCAAGCTAACATTCCCCACACATGGTCTAAGCTCATGATAGTCCTTCTGTCCTAATGTCCTAGCCATTTTAACCTTGATCTGGTCATTCTCTGGGGCTGGCCCCTATCACCCTCAGGGGCTTCTTTGGCCTTGTCTTCCTCCTGTGGTTGACCTTGTGTCTCTCATATCATATGGGCTCCTCCCCATGATTCATTTTCTTCTTTTGATGGATTATGGTCTCCAGCAACTGACCCTGGAAGGGAAAGGAGGCAATATTGGGGCACCTTGGATGAGTAAAGGGGTCTTTCCAGCCCCTCACATGGAGAGCTTTGCAGCCTGCTGGTGTGATGGGGCCCCAGTCACTAGGTTGATGTATTAGTTTGCTCAGGCTCCACAGCCTGGGAGAGGCCTTAAACCACAGACATTCATTTTCTCACAGTGCTGGAGCCTGGAAATCCAAGATCAAGGTGTCAGCAGAGCTGGTCTCTCCTAGTCATCTCTCCTTGGCTTTGCAGATGGCATCTTCTTGCTGCGTCCTCACATGGCAGAGAGAAGGGGGCTCTGGTGTCTCTTCCTCTCCTTTTAAGGGTGCTACACCCATCAGAATCTCATCTATAAGTCCCCACCTCCTACTACCATCATGTTGGAGGGAAGAATTACAATAAGTAGATTTGGAAGGATACATACATTTGGTCCATGACAGTTCGCCATGATCTTTCTTCCTCTGACAGTTTGTTTCAATATGTTCTTGCTTCTGCGGTTGCTGACGAGAAGCTCAGAGTTATCCTCATTCCCAGCCTTTTGATGTGACCCTTCTGAGTCTTCTTGCTCTCAGGAAGTTTATGGAACCTGTTCTTTGTACCTGGTATTCTGAACTTGCCCTAAATATGCCTTGATCTAGGTGTTTTTTTAATTTTTAAATTTTTTAAAATTGTTTATGCTTTGGGATAGATAGCCCATGGACCCAGATGACCTACCTCTGGAAGTATTCAATGATTATTTTGTTGATTATTTCTTTCCTTCATTTTTATTCCTAAAACTCCTATTATTTGATTATTTGGGCATTGAATCTCCTGAACTGACCTAATTCTCCTTCTCTGTCTTCTTTACTTTCTGGAAAATTTCTTTGATTTTTATCATCCGACACTTTTTTTTAAATTGGTAAATCTGGGCACCACAAAACCACATCCCAACTCTTTTTATTTTTTATTTTGAGCCAGGTTCTCACTAAATTGCTTAGGGCCTTGCTAAGTTGCTTAGGACCTCGCAAGTTGCTAAGGCTGGCTTTGAACCTACGATCCTTCTGTCTCAATCTCCCAAGTCTCTGGTATTGCAAGAGTGTGCCACCTTACCCAGCCCAACACTTCTTTTGAGGTTTTCATTTATTCAACCACATTTTAAAAAAAAAAAACTTCCATGATCTCTATTTTGTTTTATAAATAGTCCTTTTTATGAAATCCTATTTCCACTTCAGGGATGTATCTTTTTCGCATTTCATCTCACTGAGATTTTTTGAAAAAAATATTCTGTCCCAGGAGCATCTCTGTTTCCTCTGATTGGCTCTCCCCGCAACCCTGTTTGTCTTCCTTTATAATCCCATCTTCCATAGATGTCCAAAGCCCTTACTCTTGTTGATTAAGATGGGGAATTACAGAGCTGACTGGGAGTGCAGATCCAGGAGAAGGGTTCTCCTCTCTGAGCTTTCTTTTGGGCACCAGGATTTTATGTTTCTCTTCTTGGATAGGATAAGGTCGCCTGTGATTCTTAAATTTTCTACATAAGTCACTCTGAGTTGGAGACCCTGATTTCCCCCCAAGAAAAGACCCCACTGTACATTTGGGGGTTGATGGGTCCATATACCCAGACCATCAAAAAATCCGGGGATTATTGACAACACCTCGTGGATGGCATTTGATCACAGCAGCTGTGACCACCAGTGCTTGAGCCTGAGCTGTCCTGGCTCTTTACTGTCAGCAGGGGTTCAGCCCTCTAGGGTCTGCCCCATCCTGTTTTCTAAACTCCTACTTTTTCCACCTTCATTTCTTTCCTGCCTTTATGGGTTTTATGCCTTTTAAAGAAACCTCTTGCTGTAATTTAGAGACTTCTCAGGAAGAAGCAAGATTCTCAGGGTCATGGTTCATTATTTGTGTGCGTGAGCTCAACTTTGCTAGAACTTTATCTAAGAATTCTCTTAAGAACTCTGCTCCTGTTGTATTCCATTAAAGAAAATTGGTCTTTATGCCTGTCAGGCAGCAAGGGGCTGTTTTAAACTAAATGGTTGGCTTCTAATGTTCACGTGTCCTGGATAGTAGGAGTTTGGGCCCTGATCAGGTCAGTAGGCACATGTTTTCAAGAGTGTCTACTCCATTCTGAGTGGGATCCGAGACAGATGAGTCTTCTCATCTCCCATGCAAGGAGCTGTCTGCTGAGGGTGGAGCCTCTTGGGCCTGGAATTCCCACCACTTTCAGGCCTTAGCCTGTTGTGCTGGTGTTCTGAGAGTGCCCGTGAAATATGCAGCACTTCAGATGTGCTGCGAGTCTGTCAGTGCCACTGCCTTAGGGCAGACAGTAGCTTGGCATTCTTGCCCTGTCTAGACTCCCACTTACCTGAACATTTCTGACCTCTGAATGACTTTTAGATTTTTTAACCAGAGAATTTTCTTTGCCATATTGTCAGATTTAGTCTCTGTCTTTCTCCCCTAGTGCTTGGGCCCCCCCCACATATCTTCCCATCAGGGCTAGAACAAGGGTGGGCAAATCAGGTGCACAATTTAAGCATGTACCCAAACTCAGTCATCCAGATAAATAATATTTTCATGCAATATTTTGAAAAATCAATTTTAATCTGAAAGAAATCCAGGTCTTCTCTTTGCCTAGGACTTTTCTTGGAGAAGTTGTGGTGGTGGGGATAAATCATTCTTATTTGATCATTGAGAAACTCCAGTTTAATAAGACTCTGCAATTCAGACATGTTTCCAGGCAGAGCATGCTGGCCTCTAATTCACATGTTAAAGCTTTGTTGGACAAACCAAGACCTGAGGGGGCTGTCCTCTCTCCTGAGCTGGGAGAAAGCAACATCTGTCTCTGCTTAGATTTTAGGCAGCTCCAAGGGCAGCCCTTCATGGCTCTGTAGGTTTGTAAGGAGGCCAACCTGGGCTTCTCAGACCCCACTGAGCCATCTGCAGCCACAATCTAGTGGCTTGCTGCTGCCCCCAGCCCTCCTCTGCCACTATCTTTGCTTCCTGCAGTCTTATCCTGGCCTAGGCAGTGAACCCTATGTAGCATCCCCTTGCCCTCCTTTCCAGTGTTAGAGTGTTCGTCTGCATTCCTACTTCAGCCAAGCTTTTATGTGCACATGACTCTCACCTCCCTGGTCAAAGGCATGGACCCCTTGCTTTGCACCTTCCTACCTTCTCTGGGGGCACTGAGTGTTGTCCAATTTCATCTTTGGTCCCTCTGTCCCCTCAGTCCTCTAGATAGATATTTAGAGACTCAGACCTCACCTGTGAGCTCAGGATTCTGAACTCCAGACCCTGCTGCTCCCTACATACTCCCCTGGAAGGCTCAAACCCTCCAGATTATGCCCCCTTCTCTCTCATCATGGTACCATACCACCTTCTCTGAACTCTGGGCCCTGCCCTGGCTGGGCCCTTCAGCTCCCAACCCCAAGAGGCCTGCGTGATGGTGCTGGCCCTTTTCACTTTGAATGACTCCTGGACATCTTACTAAGCCTTCTGGACCTTGAGGCTTGCCCCCACCCCATCACCTTGTCCACAGGGCCTCCCTCTTGTGTCTCATCCTTCTATCCAACTGCCTGTCATGCTGCTTTATAACTCCATATCTGTACATGACTCTCTGCCTGTAGATGATCCTCCCCTGTCATGCCCTGGTCAGCAATCGAATCAGTACTGCCAAATGCTGCCAGAACACCGTCTTCTTGTTCTATTGCTCTGATCTCTGACCCCTTGCCCTCCATGGTGCCTGATTCTGGCCCCTTTGCTCCATGGGTAGCCTCTGTAGCTAGGGAAACTCCCTTACCCCAGTATCTATTCCTCCCTGGGGAGAGGCTAATAAGAGTCATCCCAACTTCCATGGAAAAATCTTCGCTTTTCCAATATCCTTATCGCCATCTGTTCCCAGACTGGGCCCCTAGCTGCAGCCTATGATTAGTGAAAACAAGTCCCCAGTGGGGGCAGAGAGAGTCTCTATCATGGAAGTCATCAAAGAGTGATGATGGGCAGTGGCATGGGGCCTCTGCATGGATGTCTGTGGTGGCTCCAGGTAAGGCCTGATCCTGGGCATGTGATGAGTTTGCTGTGAGTGCCAGGTGGACACTGGCCTGCAGCTCTTTCCCTCTCTGTGGCATTCCAGGCCTGTCTTCACTTGTCCATCTCACCTCTTCCCACCCTCTGCTCCCCTGCTCCTCCAGACATGCTCACCTGGCACCCTCAATGTAAGGTGGAGCCAACAAGGAGCTGGGGTTGGGGTAGGGTGGGAGTATGCTTTTTACCTTGGAATCTAGGCTTGGCTTTTGTCAGTGTGTCCAGTTCCGGGGAGTGACTTACAAGTGTACTACTTGAGCAGCCTCAAAGTGTTCCATCCCTGTGGGTCTAGTGTTCTCAGGTGCTCATTTAGGGGACCCGGAGCCAGGACATCAAAAATTGACCAATAGGTGGCAGTGTTGCACAATGAGCCAGTCCAGGGTCAGGAATGATGTGCCATTATGAGGAAATCATTCCATGACACTTGTTGGGATGCAGTAAAGGCTACTTTATTCAGGATCTTTGCAGTAGGACCAGGCAGTGGGGTCCCAAAGTTGCGGAGGAAATTGGGGTGAACTTCAAATACAACAGGGAAAGTGGGAATCTATAGCTAAGTTGTAGGGTGGAGTCAGTGGATAGAAAATTACTGAGAGGAAGGAAACGTCATGGGTAGGGATTCTGGCAAAACCACCAACAGACTCCTGCTGATGATAAGCTAAGGTGATCATACATTACCCGGAGCAAGGTGGAGGATGAGGGATCTGACTAGTTATGAAAGGTGATCAGATATCGAAGGGGGGCCGGATTTTGCTAAGCTGACTTAGCAGGATTCTTTGCTGAAACTGGATTTTATAAGGAAGTACATAGAGGAAGATTTTAGATGCATCTGAATCTTGGTCCATTCCCACATATTATGATGCCTCTGATAGGTTTGGGCCACCCCTCACTGAGCGGCCTAGGCCAACCCTCACTGAGCGGCCTGGACCTCCTCCTGGGGGTTTGATCTCTTACCTGCACCCACATGGCTTTAGGGCTTGCTCATGGCTTTAGGGCTTGCTCAAACAGCTATTTTTGTCATACTGCAGAGATAAGCTCCTACAGTAAACTGTAGCCTCCAGTGTATTTATACCTCTTCTCTTTGTTGTTTGAACACTCCCTATGATTATAAAACTACTTATTGTGGAAAATATGAAGAAATGCAAAAATTATGAAGAAGAAAATGAAAATCATTTATCTATAATCCTACCAACACCCATAAAAAACTATTATTAACATTTTGTTCCTTCCTGTTTCTTAAGAGTGTGTGTGTGTATAAATTTTTTAACAAAACTTGATTGGGTGACATACAAACAGTTTGGTATGTTTCTTCAGTGTGTCCAGTTCTGGGGTAAGTTTTTTTGATAAGTTTTTTCTTCACTTGCCAATATATCTTAAAGATTTTCTTATATTATTAAATATTCCTCAAAAATTTGATTTTCAATCATTGTATAGAGCCCTAGCCTAAGAAGAGACCGTTTACTTAATCAACCTTCACTGATATATAAGATATTTCTATTTTGTTTTAAATGAAGCACAGCAAGCACAGCATCTTTGTTCCTGAAATTTCTTTCTTGGATCATTCTATAAAATGAATCCTATGAGTCAAGGTCTGCATGCATGGGTGTGTCACTCATTAGGGTTTGTGATACCTGTCACCCATTGGACCCATCGGGTTGGAGACATACTGATGCTAGTCAGAGCTAGTCTGGGGACTCTTCTTGATTCTCGTTTCCTAATACTTGAAGAATATTTGTTCACCTACTTTATATACCCAGGAACCTGCTTCTGTCTGCCTTCTCCCCCTTGTCTCTCTTTTAGCATTGCTTTTGTCCTTGTCATACTTCAATATCTAAGTTTCTTGATTAAACAACAACTACTACTACTATAAATATGCTGGGCATGGTGGTGCATGCTTGTAATCCCAGTGACTTGGGAGGCTGAGAAAGGAGGATCATAAATTCAAGGCCAGCCTAGGCAACATAAAAACTAAAATGGACTGGGGATGTAGCTCAGTGGTAAAGCACCCCTGGGTCCAATCCCTCATACCTAAATAAAAAAATAAAAATAGAAGCAATATGTACACATGATACAAAAGTTAAATCTTTCAAACTTGACCATTTTGTGTTCTTTCTAGAAATCAATGTGTATGTACCAGCAGATAAATGCAAGTGGGAACTGAGATTACTGTACTTACACACAGTCTTTTCACTCATGCTGGACCTTAGGCATCTTGGAGGCTCACTCCAACCCAAGTCCCTTCTCTGTGGCTGAATGGCCCCCAAGTCTGAGTGCCGACCTGACTTCACCCCTCGCTTGTTGGTAGATAGGGACTTCATTTCATCATGTCCACGGGTGCTGGAGCATCCTTTTTAACAAACATCTTAGCAAGAGATACAAGGATAGCCTGGGGTATTGCTTTGTGGTGAAATTGCTGGGTTAATGGAGTGTCTATTTTAATTTTGGAGAGCTATTGCCAAATTGTGCTCTCCCAAGCATTTGCCCTCCTAACCCTGCTGATGGTACATAGGAGCTCTGGCTTCCCTGACCACTTTAGCTCTGCCCTTAGCACAGTTTAAATATCACCAATGTGCTCTCTGCTGTGCCTTTTCTTCTATTTCTGATCCACTTAGCCTCTTGCCTGCCTTGTCTTCTGGGCTTTATGTTTAAATATGTCTAGGGATTATTTTTGTAAGCATAATGTGTACCATATCTATCTAATATAGTGAAGATAAAATTTTAGCTTGTTTGGTCCACACATTGAAACTGATTGCAGTAACTTTATACTTAATTCTCTTGGATTTTCTTGATCTACAGAAATATGTATTACAAATAATGAGAATTATGCTTCTTCTTCCTTCCATTATTAAGTGACCTTAATGAGGGTGGGCAATCTTTTTATTTTGGCTTTAACAGTTAAAACAAATAGGGTTTTGCCACTAATGGTGACATTTTGGGCTAAAAGTAGTAGAATATGCCTAATTATTTCAGGGAAGTAGCCCACATAAGTTAGTATTAGCAGTTTTTACATGAGAAGTGGATGCCGGATTTAGGAAATACGTTTGCATATGTTTTAAGATGATCCACTTAGAGGTTTTGTCCTCTGACTGTTCCTATGGTGTGTGATGTGTCCGGATGTCCAGTGTGTCTTGGATCTTATGAGGTGTGGTAGGGGTGCTGTCTTGTTACTGTCAGGTGGACGTGGAAGTCCAGGTTGCACACCTGTCTTCCATGACATGGCTATTGTGCAGGTATGGAAGTTGATTCTCCTTGAGGCTGCCAGTCATAGCGTAAGTACAGAGTCATTGCCATCTCCTAGATACGAGCACTTTGGCTCTGTTGGGCTTTCTTTGGCACTGTCTTAGTGGGGGTGCAGCTACACTCCCTCACAGCCCGATGAGGATATAGAATTCAAGACACCAATGTGGCCTTTGCTGGATGAATGGGGGTAGGAAACAGATTTTTCAGTGGTCTTGGAAAGTGTAGCATTATTGTTGTCTAAATTTTCTCTTTCTCTAGATTTCTCATTCTTGGTCCTTTGGCCAGAGAAAACAGGCTTTTCTTGGGGCTTTTGCTGTATACATTTTGCCTGTACATGTTGGCATTCCCAGGCCATGGGCTTCTCCAGTTTCTGGTCTGAGATAAATAAGACAGAAAGAAACCCTAGGGGGACCTCCTGCTCTACCATACAGTTTTTCTTTGAATCGCAAAGTTCCTAAAGCACCTCATCTTTTTCTTTTTACTGTTGGCATTCTGACCATTTGGTTCGAATAAAATGGAATAATGTATTTATTTCTTCTTTTCTGGAACCGCATGGGCAGCATCTTTTTAATATTCTTGTATTCTCCTAAAATGTGTTAAGCACCAGAGGCCTTGCTTATGAAGTCCAATAATGAGATCACAGTAGGTGGTTTCAAATTAGGCTCCATTTTCCTTTTGGCAAACAGGTGCATTCTTGTACCCCATCCGTGACATGTGGGAGCTATGTAGAAGGGTTCACGCTCCATTCCCATCAGCCCTGGCTGTGGCAAGAGACCTGGTAAGGTCTTGTCTTTTCAGGTGTCATGTGCAGATGCCTGCTCTTCCCTGGACACTGTTTCACCACGGCACACATGTTGAGTCCCACAACCCTCACCACAGTGCCGTGGCACAGCTGCCCTGTAACCCCAGCACAGAGGTGGGAACCCCAACACTGAGTGCTGAGAGACTTCCCCTGTCATCTCAGGTCACCAGGGGCAAAACCATGATAGCATCTCCTATCCTCAAATGGAGCCCACCCTGCAGCAGACAGGATGCAGGCTGGGGGTGGGGGGGCGAATATAACCCCTTTTCTTCAAAAAGGGGAGAATTTGATGACATTTCTTTGTTTCCATGATGACTGCAGCGGAGAGCATTGAGAACAGCATCAGAAAAACTTCGAAACCGCTCGTCTTTCTCTACAAATGTGGTCTACACCACACCAGGCACGCGTGTCAATAGGTATTTAAGCCGCCTCCTGGAAGCCCGCCAGACGGAGCTGGAGATGGCGGATCTGAATTTCTTTACCTTGAAGTACAAACATGTTGAACGGGAGCAAAAGGTAAGTCACTCTGGTTTTAATTTTCCTTGATGTGGTGGATCAAGGCTCTGTGTGGGGCCCATAAGCTCCAAGCTCCAGTTGATCAATATCTCTCCCTCCCTATTCTGCAGTACCACCAGCTTCAGGACGAGTATTTCACCAGCGCTGTCGTCCTTGCCCTCATCCTGGCTGCCTTATTTGGCCTTGTCTACCTTCTTATGATCCCACAGTAAGTGCTGTTCCTGTTCTGATCAGTGTGTGGGAAGGTGACCCTGAATTTGAGGTCCCTGGCCAGGCATGGTGGCATACACTTGTTATCTCAGCATCTTGGGAGGCTGAGGCAGGAAGATCCCTGGTTCAAAGCCAGACTCAGCAACTTAGTGAGGCCCTAAGCAACTTAGCAAGACCTTGTCTCAAAAA